TGATGATGATGACAATGATAAAGACAATGATGGGGATAATGATGTTGACGATGATAACGACGAAGATGACAATGATGGGATAACAATAATGATGATGATGACGATAATGACAATGATGTGGATAATGACGATGATGATGATAACGACGATGACATCGATGGGAATAATGATGGTGGGAAACCTGTGGTATACCATAATACTAACCTACTGAAGGGATCCAGAGGCCTGGGATCCAACACTTGTTCCAGTTCATCTCGTGCCCAGGCCCTCCTCTCACGATCTTGGACGGGAGTCACCTTGTTCTTTCTTTCTCTTTGTCTTTTTTTGTTGCGCAATCTCTCCATGTCAGCCTGAGGGAAATTTTTTTGAAATTTTAATTCTCTTGAGATTGAGTGATTCAAGTCCATCCCTTCCATTAGAATGAAAGGAAAAGACATGGCGGCTATGTTGGATGACATTACAACAGACACCAAGACCTAATCTATGGTTTGAGTTAACCAACATGGCGGCTGTGACGTAACATACACACAACCCTGCAATAACCTCTGGGCTGATCTAAGTCAGGGCATGGTTAACTCACAGATTGAACCCTGAAACAACCTCTGGGCTGATCTAAGTCAGGGCTTGGCTAACTCACAGATTGAGCTCTGAAACAACCTATGAGCTGGATGGAACCCTATACAACCTTGGGACTGATCTAGGTGATATAATTTATAGTGTCAAAAAACGTCACGCATGAGAACAGCTGCAGAAATCATTACCTTTTGTTTGAGTTCTTGTTGTGCTGCTTTGCTTCGTCGTTTAGTTTTTCTTGGCGTCTCGTCTTCTTGGTCATCAGTTGGTGGCTATCAAGAATACACACAGTAAAGAGGTTAGCTAATGAATGCATACTTCTTGTGCGTATTATTAAGATAATAATAATGTATTATTTCTATTGCGCATGTTCCACTATGAGATGTTCATGCACATGCGCATTACGAACATTACAAGTTCGTAATAGTTATATTATGACACTGATTTCTCGCACTGTGATTGGTCAAAGTGTGGTAGTGACTGTGTTAATTTTGACATAGAACAGTTTTAGTATGACTGTGAAAAGCTCACGGCACGAATGCGATCGTGACACAAGGCACACACCAGACCAATCACATCGTATGAGAATTCATTCGTCATCCAATCAAATGCTTGCAACACGCTATTGTCACGGCGTGGACACGGACATGCGGATGTCACAGCACATCCAGACCAGTCACGAGACAACTATCAAATATCCTCCAATTAAAATTCGAGAAAATATCACGGTCTATATCAACACTTACAGCAATAAGAGAAGTGTGTTTGTTGTGAATGGGTGGAAGAGAGGAGACTGGGTGCACTGATGACCGGAAGCGAACAGGAACTTGAGGCTGATTACCGCTGGACCCACCCATCACAGCCACCGTGGGCACCTGCGCGGCAGAAAACTTAGTCTGGTCTGTCCTTGTTGTGGCGATGCTCTCAGCTTCAGATTCTGATGACCCGGTTTCAGTTTCTTCAAGTATTTTTTGAGTTGTTTTACGGGGTGTTGATCTTACAGGTACACTGATTGTCTGCCTGTTCATTCTGGGTCCTGGTTGTGTTGTGTTGACTCTACTCTGCGATGTACTACTCATCGTGATGAAACTGTTGTCGTAATCTTCATCTTCTTCGCTCTCCTCGTATGCCGCGTTTGTCCTGCTAAAGAGTTTTTAAAAACTGTCTTACTTTACGAAGGGCTTGTCAAGTTTTCTACCTTGCTGCGGTTTCCGATATTCTGCGAACGCAGACAATTCAACGGCTTGTTGTAAAACTGGTTTTTACTGCCGCAGTTCGATAACATATAAGGTATTATTTTTGATTCGCGGCAGGGGAATACCAAATTTCAGTGCAGAATATAGAAAAACGCAGTAAATCAACCAAGTATGTGGTACCATCCCGATCTATTATCCTTTATCCAATATGCCTTTCTAATCGATCAATAGACAAACATTTTCTTTTGATGACTGAGTAGTCGATAATTACTCGTACAACTAGCTCAGCACATCTGTCTGATAAATAATTACTCGTACACCTATAACTCAGCATATCCCCCGGCGGGGTACTCCCCTATATTTGCTATACGGGTATGTGCCGCCCTATAGAGTATGGTTTTTAGGCTTTTGGGTCTGGTGTAGGGTATCATTTTTTGACATTTTGTCTGGGATAGGGTATTATTTTAGTCTGGGATAGGGTTACGATTTGGTCGTTATTGTCTGGCGAATAGGCTACGCTTTCTGCCGACACAAAAACAATAAAAATGTTAGTAAATATTGATTGCAATCGATTGTAAAACCGTCTTTTCCGTCTTTTAGTCTGGGATAGGGTGTACAATTCTTAGTTTTAGTCTGGGATAGGGTATGTAAAATCAAAATTTTAGGTCTGGGATAGGGTCAGGGTTTTGAGGTCCTGGCGGCACACCCCTACCCAAGCTGGGGTGGTAGTACCCCCCCCCCCCCCGGGGGCATATCTATGTGATCAATAATTACTCGTACAACTAGATCAGCGTATTTGTCTGATCGATAATTACTCGTTCAATCCTTACCTGGACMTATCTGCTCGTTTCTGCATGGAAGTTTTGGCGACCTTTCTTCGTAACGATGTCTCGCGCTTCGGAAGGTTTTCGTAGCTTCTGTCGACAACTGCCGACATGTTGGCGATCTTAGACATTGATGGCTTACTCTCTGCATACCGTACCTCGTCCTGTGTTTGCATGCGTTGCTATGGAAACAATATGAGTGTTTTAGGTTAAAGGTGTCCATTCAAGACACTCGGAAAAGACTGTAGAATAAAAGGAAAGGGGAAAGAAAGAGTGGAAATGAAATGAAAAAAGAAAAGGAATAGTCAGGGACGAAAAAAAAAAAGAAGATATGAAATGAAATAAAAAAAGAAAGACAATGGAGAGAAAAGAGAGAAGGAAAGAAAAGCAAAATGAGGACGAAATAGAAAAAGAAGAAAAGAAATAAAATGAAAAAAGGAAGACAAT